TTGCTACTGTGGGACGGGGAGGAGAAACCGTCAGCTACAAATTTGCCTCTCTGGGAGGCGATATGATGGAAGTTTGCGTACGACGCGTCAGCCAACTAAGAGCTTTCGTGATGTCAAGAGCAACCGCAATGGCCTCTACATATGACTGGATAAATTTATTCCATACTTGTGTGACGTTGATCGGTGGTACCAGAAACCATACTGCCTGTCGTTAATCAAGCAGTGATGTTCGAGATACTTTTAAAGCTCGCTATCTTACATAAATGAATAATGAATAAACATGATTTGTTTTGATAGGTATTTTTCATTTAATTGCTTAATATGTTCCTTATGGCAACATTTTTGAGACGGTGAGTTTCAAAAGGCGACTTTTTACAATAATAACTAATTAAATTGTGACATTTGCATATTATTGGATCAAAATATGTCATTTGATATGTACTTTATTCCATTTTGTCTACATTTAAGAACCTAATGGCAATTTTAAGTTTAATGTATGTCCAGTAAAATAGATGGTAAAAGAATTAAATGGTTGCACAGTTCAACTAAAACAATTATTTTCTCGATTTATTGAACTAACTAAATTGCATAATTGCTACCTTTTGCTCCTAACCTCCTCAAAGGCCATTCATTATCTATCTAGGTGCATTTTTATCAACATTATTTACATAAGGAGAAAAAAGCTATTTCTCATTGGAGAATTGCGTTCAATAATGGTGATTTCTCAGGTTAGTAGTTAAACCTTCAAAGTTCAAAATTCCGTACAAAGTGAGCATTGTCCTTTCATTTTTCGAACGTTTTGAGCTACACTGTATGCCATGTAGCTGTCGTAGCTTGATCAGTTTCCCTTGTACAGCACATCGCTAGCAACACACATATAAACAGACAGAACTGCAAGCGTAAAACAAACAACTGCTTCGACTGGAAGACTTCGCGGGCGGTTTAGTTCTGAATTGGTCTGCAATTTTGCTGGAAAAGGATGCATGCCATCACAACCGACATCTGAAAACAACCGCCGGCAACTGTTAGTATATGTTGCGTAAAATAATTATTTTCTTCAGGTTTAACCGCCCATGTGGTGCTTAACAAACAGTTATAACGATTATACCACTCACGATGTACTTTACTGGTAACTTAGGTACCCTATTCTTGACAGGCGTGTAAGCCTTTGATCACCCAGCGGCAAAAATGCATGACAATGCAGCACATACGTCGTGTTGTAGGAAAATACTTATAAACGACAGGGATCACACAGCATGTGTAGATCACCATATTCAGAATAATACTTTAAGGCACTGCTCTCATATCGACTTCGGTTAATTTGCTTCTGCGATCTTTCAGAAAGCAACTGCTAAGCAACTAACAGTCTCGCTTTGAGGCTGTGGATAAAACCAGTGACTATATGTATACCAACTAAAAAGAATAGACTGCGTCCCGTGTTTGGTAGTAGTAAAAGCAAAATCTGGCCAGTCCAATCAGCATAATTTTTGGTTTATGAAACAATTTATAATACATAACAAATTTCCGTGCGATAAAGGATCTTTGCGCAAAGTAGCTTCATGTGTTCAAACATATTTCGTGAGTCTGTTTACCGCTCACACATCAATAAATTGCTTATCATAATTGATCAACTGCAGCTTTACAGAATCTCAATACTAGAAATCAGGGAACAAAATGGCTAGTAGAAACTGTTCCATTACCTTGCTTATGAAATAAATTTGTAAATGCATCTATTTCCAGCAAAATAACATGTTTCTAGGTTTATCGTGTACTCTATAAGCGTTCGGAATACATTTTTCGAGTGCGCCATACAAATTTAGGAGGGTCAAACTTTTGAAACTCCGGATATTGTTTTTTTGCCATTTCTTGGATTTCTAATTAGGTTCCGAAAACTCTCAACCGCACCATTTTTTTTTCATATACATTGTAGTTCAATGATATTCTCCTAAGGAGGTAGTTTGTGAACTGTAATTGTGTACTGTGCAAAAAGTTTTATTAGCTTCTTAGAATTATATTTTCGGAAGTCTTTTTCCTGCTTTAGCAACGTTTCGGAAGCGCTCAGCTTGGTCTTGATCCCGGTGAAGAAGAAAACTAAAATTTGCTATTTAATTCGAGGAAGACGAAAAACGCCCTCTTCCATCCGATTCATCACTTTTTATCTCAGTGGCGCATCGTGTGAGAACGGAAAAGAAAGGAAAGCTGCAAAAAGAAGTCGGCTAAATATTTTTTCAGTTATTGATGACCTCAGATTTCTTCTTCACAAGATTAATCCTACATTAAGATATAAGTTCATGAACTTGTCAGCTTTTGTGTTCTCTAGTCATAATGACCTTTTAAAAGAGTAGAGACTGGCATAGACACTCAACCAAATCGTACGCTTTGCCTGTGCAGTCCGAAACCACCTTGAAATACGTTGTCTAAGTGACACCAAATCGTTCATCTTGATTGTCATGCTCCGTCAACTGTCTGGCGTGGGTATAATCAAACGAAAGTTGCCATTTGCATGTGTCCATCATGCTTAATCGAAATAATTTCACCGATTACGCCTAAAGAGTGTTATTATAGAAATCTCGTCAATTGTTTGATGTTTATTTACTAAGACGTCAAAAAGTAATAAGATCTGGTGATGCAATCTTCAATACTCTATTGTACCTACTCCACTTCTGAGGTCCATTGGAAACAAATATACCCTTAGAGAAAAGGAAAAGTGAAAAGCCTAGAATTTTAAAGTAGGTATTGTCCTCCACATGACTAGTTTTGTTGTTGTTAACTGTACATTGTACAATTGCCACCTCATATAGGAATGAAAGTTTTGCGACATCGCTTTACATTTGAATCTCGAATGCTGACCCACTCTTCACCCTTCAGAACGTTCTACCAGTTCCACAAGCCCTTCAATAAGTTTAGGAGTGCAAGGTTCCTCAAGACGTAAATATGAGAGCAAATGATTTAGGGATTGAAAAGTTACAAATAAAAATTTTAAGTCCGTATGCATTTTCAGAATTTCACTACCACTGTTTCATGCTCTTTACATTTATCATTAGAAGAATATTATGAACTTTAATATGCTAATGCGACCACAAAGCAGCAGCCTCAACACCAAAGCTCATTGTCATCCAAGGAAGCAGTTCTTTCTTACTGGTTCACATCCTCTATACCCTAACCGCAAATGGTCAGTGATACTGTTCACACTGCAATAGTTAGTCTGGTCCAACGTTCTTTTACTTTCTCACTTTGTGGCAGGAAGTTTACTGAAGCAATATAACCACCTTTAGACTACTGCCGCCTCTGATATTGCTCGTTAGCTTCTTCGAGAAATAAGCACCGTGCCGAGGAGAAAATGGCGTCTGTAGTTGAAAAAGAGGGTGGAAGGAAAAAGAGGGAACAAGTCATCGCATCGCCGACATCGTCGTCGTTCCCCAAAAAAAATCCCCTGAGGCCAGGGGCGATCGGTAATTGGAGAAGTCGTTTCCCCTAGAAGAGGGTGAACTGATTTATTTTATTTCCAGTCGTGGGTGGCTGGCTCTTGAAGGGCGTGTGCTTTGTTTCGGATACACGCTCTCTCCAAATATCGATTCAACGAAAGAGGGAGACAGGACGATTCTCAGTGCTAGCGGTAGGGGTTAGTGAAGTTTAAGCAGAGTAGAAATGGACAAGTCAGGAATAGATTCCAGTGTGCAACCTAGAGATTTATGCGAGCCTTGTGAGTCGTATGTTGCAACCTTCGTTGAATAATGACAGCGCAATGACAGCGCCGCATAATGACCATAATTACACCTTGCAACTAGATGTCTTGGTAACAAATTTCGGCAAGTTTTCAATTGACATTGAATAAAAACAAATGGAAGTATACTTAAAATGGGTTTTTTCATATTAACCTAAGTAACATGCGTACCTGAACAAAAAATGAATGCGATGAATCCATAAAACCTGGTTTAAACTACTAACCTCAAATTATTCAAAAAGGGAAGAAATTAATGTTATCAGAGCATATGAGATACGTTGAACAGCTTTGGACGAACGGATACAGCTACTCAATAAAAACTCTAATCATGATACAAGAACATTATGGAATGTATAGTGAAATTGTATTTTTAAGTTAGCTTCACGTCAGTCTATTATTATTATTTTAGTATTTATCTTCAATTCCAGAAAAACCTTATTTGATTTATCAAAATGGGAGGGTTCTGAGAAAAAAATGTCCTATTACGATACCGTTTTTATTGATTCACTCTGCAGCCGATCCCCAAAAACTTCCTCAAAGGTGTATAACTTGATTTACTGATCTGGAAACATTATCATAGGGCTTCTCTGGTCTCTGTTTATGAATCTATTATCACAAAACCTATATTTTCAATATAGGGGAACTAGGCTATTCAAAGCAGAATAAAAATGATAAAACCGTATTGAAACAAGATCTTTTTTCTTACAAACGGTACATTTCTTTACCAACAAGAATACATTTCTCAGCAGGTTTATCCGAAAATATCGTTTGTGATTCACTATAATATAGAGTATTAGATGAATTAGCGGTATGGATCTAGATATAACCCATACTTCAGAGACAGGCGGAAAGTCTTTGATGATCCTTGAGGAGGGCCTTATGTAGTTGGTGGATACGGATGACATTAATAAACTATCAACGTCCAAATCCTATCAGTGATGTAGAGATAAATTGTGCGGTTTTTCTCCCTATAGTTACGATTGATTTATGATGGAAAGGAGTGACATACTCATGAGCCTAAATTTAAAAACAAATAATGGGCTCTCACTTTTTCCAACTGTTTGATTCTGTTTGGAAAGAGAACGTTTTAGAATGGTGTAGCTATGAAAATTTTGATCAATCTTTCACGTCACATTTTTGGCAAAACTGACACCATAGCTTGAAGTATAATTAATGTCGAATATACCCTACAATGTTGCACTAGCTATTGGTATGGCTCGCCAGTTTATATCTACAGGGTACTTTTGTGTAAGTAACAGTAACACTGTTGTTCCAGGTGTGGTTTCAAAATGCCAGAGCAAAGTGGCGGCGGATGATGCTGAAGCAAGAAGGCAAGTCTGGCGAGAAGTGTTCCGGGTCAGAAAGTATGAGTGACATGGACATGTATCCACATGGACCAGCTTCAATGGGCAGTACAATCTCGATGAACCCACACAGTCCTTTCATGATGCCCCAGGGCAGCCCCTCGTCGATGGACTGCTCGTGAGACTAGATTCTAGAGGGTGATCTGAAATGATGGGAGAAGTTCCGTAAAGGGCACAAGGGAGCAACAAAAAAAAAACAGCACCAAGTGCTGAGTGAGACAATTGCCTATCGTATGCTCTGGTTGCTAAGCATTTTATCTGTGATTGTTTTGAACGCAGTAAACGGTTGTGAGGAAATTATGATTTATCAGAGTTCACTCAATCGATAAAGGAACCGCTTCAATTCAGGTAACCACGGAACTTTTTCGTTCAATAATATCACATGATTTTTTTAAGAATATCTAATTTGATCTAACTAGATACATCAAATGTGGCACTAGTAGTCTATACTGCATCCAGATCCATTATAAGATATAAGCACAGTCATGCACCTTGAGGAAGCTGACAGGGTCGTATTCAGAACCATCTATTGCACTGATTGAATGATGCCAACTTCTTGTCGTTTGCAGATGCTACCCTTATGGAACATTCTCCTAATTACTTGGATTAGGCAAGAATGTGCATACGTGTTTCCCCACTAGAGTGAGCGTGACGTTTCTCCCTCACCCCCGCATCCCTATATAGCCCCACGGTACCCACGGGTATATAGGTCTTAAGCCTGCGTGGTGGCTCAAGTATAAAGTATAACTGACTGAAATATATTAACGAGCCATTTTTTTACAAGAAAAAATGCTGCGAATATACATGTACATTATGTAGTGAAAATATTTTCAATAATGTCTACAATATTGTATCACACAGGCCGCACGAATGACTGATGCTGCTCCTGGTGGACTAAGCCGATATGGAATTCACCCATAGGCGCTGTCCTGATGATCTGATGTACCGAGTGATGACGTGAGCGTGTTTGTTATGCTTCATACTTCTATATTGGATTTGGGTATGGTATTAGTAGCATCCATAATATGTCCAAAAGATGCAGAAATGGTAGTTCAGTAAAAAACCAAGTCAAGACATTGTATTGGCATTGAAATTTCAATTTTTTAGGATAATAATAATTTTAATTAAATTGAACTAAGAAAATTGCTTCTCAACAAATATTCTTTAGTGATATTAGCTTCTATCGTGACCTTCGGTTATAAACAAAAACTTACTCATGACTCTCTTTAGAATCATCAATAGCATCCAGGATATATGGGAAGATGAGTGGAAATATGACAAACATACATTTCAAAGTCCAAACGGCAAATAATCAGCATGAACAAAAATCGAAACTGTATGATATTCTGCTTTCTAACCGAAAACGGATAAATCTGCTTATGAGCATATAGAGACTTCACGTTTTTGTTGCTCCTTTGCACTTCAGATTGTTTTGAAAAATGAAACCGAAATGTTTATATTTTTTTGGTGTGGCAAATATTATGTGATGGACCTCTTTTTATATAATTTTCGAGAATTTCTAAGATGAAAAGTATTATCGGGGTTGGCTGATAGAATATTTTGTGTACACGAATTTGTTCTCACATCACAAGCTATTTTGAGTTATACTCAGACATCTTTTTATTTTTCAAAAACACTTTTATTACATGAAACCGATACCAGTGATACGTACTTATACTTTCCATATCTGATCCCAGATTTGTTAAACAACAATGTGTTAGGCCAAGTAAATGATCCCAGAGTTTCTTAGCAAGCTATACACCAACCAAAAACTTTGAAGCTGCATTCCAACCTATTACGTCTAACGTGTAACGGACTAGTTATCCGAATGGAGATTTTGACCTCTCTAGATCGATAGATAACATGATAACTGGAGAATTCAAATCTTTGATTGTCTCTGTGTATCCTGTGCCATCTTATAAAGACTATCAGTAGTTGTTTGTTAGTCTAAACACAAGACTTTTGTAACAAGAAACACCTGTTACGTAAGAAAATCTCATTCTCCAGCAATGGTCTACATCTAGTACGTCAGGATAAATGTCACTAGAAATGGTTTTTCGATTCTGTTAGCGCAGCTACTGTATTCCTGTGTGCTGGCTAATGCGATTAATAAAGAATGAGGTGGGGAAGTGTGCCAATTGTAAAGCCTCCCTAGGTTTCGGTCAATTTCTGTGCATCTATAGTTTATAGTTCTCTCTATAGTTTGTTAACCGAAGTTACGGCTCATCAGCATCCACTTGACCTTTTACGGAAACTAATGAAGGGTTATTAACGAAAAGCTCAGACATGACTTTGATTGCGTTATTCTCTAACGGCGGGGGAGACGCATCAAGCTGCTGATGAAAACTATACTTTCCCTTGCCCTCTTAATAAATACAATAAACAAAAAATACATAAACATTTGTTTAAATATGTTGGCCTAATGAACTTATAAATCTGGGATGTTCGGATATTAATGTTCTTTGATCATATAATTGTGTCTTTAAACATGCACCTGTATATCAATATTATGTACCTTAAGCAACTGAAATGATTAATATATTGAATAAGTTTATTGCAAAGTTGTTCCTACTGTAAAAAACTGTGAGGTATTTAGTTTAAGAATATTCTGAAGATTAATTCTTGCCTTAATCGATAGTTTCACTTTTGTACTGCTCAAACGCGTTTGTCTTCCTGGGAGAGAGATGTAAATTTGACAAACTTATTTTATATTTATTCTCGAGAAATAATTGTCAAAAAAGTCTGTAGAGACACTGAGATTGAGATCATACTGTACAACTCCTCTTTGCAGAAGACTGTTTAGTTTTAGTGCGTGCGAATTGACGTTTTTGGAGTTTAGTATTATTCGGGCATGTCTGAGCAAATCCAAGATGATACCAGATATAACTCCACTATTTTGGTAGTCTGGCCGCCCTTGAGATTTATTCCAATGAACTTAACTGTTAAATCTGAAGAATATAAGAAAATTGGGAAAATTATGATTCTAAGATGCGTGGGTAAGTCAAAGTTTAAAATATTCGTTGTGGTCGCAATAAAATATGAAATGCAATTAACGTTTTTATTAAGCTTTCCTGAGTTGACTAGGCAGGAAAATTTTCAGTACTTAAAATGGAAGAACCAACAACATTCTGCATTGTCCATTTGTGGATATAGAACGACCAAATAACTCCCAGCAACAGTATTTTTTTGCTGTCCTTTATTTTGGAGTAATTATTTTTTCTCTTATCACCGAAGTCGATTCATAGTATTTAATTGTTGTTATGACAAATATACTATGACGTAGAAATAAGGCTCAAGATGCCGAGTTTAGTCTTTCTGGACGCTGGTCAAGTCAATTGAGTGGCTCTTCTCATAAAGTAACCAATTCAAAGGACGGGGGGGGGGCTGCCAAGGTCTTTGCTGTCAACCCCACTATGGAGTGCTGTCTATTCAGAGGAATCCCTACACTATGCGGGTATTAGTCCGTAAGACGGAAGCTCTTGTCGCTCGACATCAACAAAACTTCTGGTCTAGACTTGAATCTTGCTGCTGTACTGAAGGCATGTGCAGCGGAGCTTGCTCCAGTTCTTTCGCGTCTCTTCCGAATATCTTCTGGAGTATCTTGATTAGTGACAGACAGTATGGTGAAATGCGAAAGGCTTTCGTGGCCATCATCCAATGTTATTTGGTCGGTTTTTGGGTAGTTAGGCCGTCGTTCAGGAGGTGTTCACAGTTCGGAGTCCTGTGAGCTGCTCGGAGCTCAGTAGCTCACAGGAAGATGCCAACCACTCGTGTTAGCGAAACGCCAAATAAAAATATTTTATGACGGCCTAACTACCCAAAAACCGACCAAATAACAGACAGTATGGGTTTTGACACCAGCGATGAACGGGGAAACCCGTAGCTTACGTTACGCAACCGTGGAGTAAACTCATCTAATCATATAATAAAGCTCATGTCGTTATTCTTGATATCACGGAAGCTTCCGATTAGCTATGGCATGCTGCTTATGCAAAGTTCCATCCTATGGTGTCTCACGGAAGCTTTGCAGATGGGTTGTTGACTTTCTCTCTGGCCGCAAGGTAACCGTCGTAATTCCCAAGACGTCAACGCGGGTGCTGCCATGTGATCGGTCTTAGCCCCGACATTCTTTCTAGCAGATATCAGCGACCTTGTTTTCTGTACGATCAATCCGATCCACAGATTTGCTGATTGCAGCATGTAGAGACATGCGGGAATTTAGAGTAACAGGCCGATCTCCACCGGTGAGATGGGGAAAAGAATAATACCAGCGGTTTCCTCTGTGACGAGAGCTTGTAGGTTATGACTGCTTGGGGATGCAACAATCTGCTACAGTTTATTTCTCTCACACTACTGTACCTTGACTAACAAGAAGTGCCCCAGCCGTTCATTTTGGCTGGTCGGTGTCTAGATCACCGACGACTTCATCAGCAGGAACACATCTAGACTAGTCTATTTGTTTGAGGCTGAGGAGCACTTTTCTCCACATGGCCTCCTCACTCTGTAGAAGACCTAGTCTTACTGCTCTGATCTTTGGGATACTTGCGGCCCGATTACACTAACCATGCTCAATGCTGTTCAGAGGAGTGAGGTCCAACTGATATCTGACTCTTCTGTAACGGACAGCCTTGGGGCCCTTTTGCACCGACGGACCGGCGGATCCGGCTTTCTTTCACCACTATTACTTGTTTCTATAATTGAGTTTAACTTCACTCTTTATTAAAACTCTGTAGCTCTACGTACGCCCTTTTAAAGCTACTGCAAAACTTAGCAGTAAGTTGCCTTAAAGCTTACATAACTGGATTTATTGAATAAAATAAAGAAACTGTGATTACCAGTATGTATCGCAACCACTCGGGGTGCAATCAGATCTATCACACTCCTTTCATTACCCTACAATATTTAATAAAATACGGATGGCCATTTTTGAGACTTTAAAGCTTAAGGTTTCACTGTTGAAGATGCACCACATACGAACTACCAGCCAACATCTAGAAGTACGTCTCGTCTGATTCATTCACTCACATATGGGATTCAAGTCTCTTTATCCAAATACAGCTCGCAAAGAGGTAGATATACGGTGTGATCCCATTCTTTTGTCAATTCCTTCATTCTTCACTGTAGTGTAATTGTGTTAGCAAATTTCCCCGAAATAATTGTAAAGTTTGGTCTTATTGATGCAAGTTGTTCAAGGGTTGATCAGGTGTTGCGGAAAAAGCTTTTATTCAACAACAAAGAATGAGAAAACCTGTTTCTTAGGATTCAGCCAAAAAAACTGGCAGGAACAAGAAAATTCTTCAAATAAGATTTCTAATTGTTTATCCCAAAGCATCCGTTTTCCGGCCTTTGCTACTAGGTTACTGAGCAATATACAAATATAGTAAAATGCACGAATGTACCTAGCCTATATATGAATCACAAGCCATTTCGTAAGATAAATGTTATTTTTATGTGGAAAACTAATGGTTAGGTTTCTAGAGAACAATTATACGAAAATAAACTGGACTACGCGACCTACTTATTTAACAAAGTCATTCTGCCATACTTACCAGCCTAAGGCCCGATTTCACCAACATTAATATTTTGGACCAATGGGAAAATACCTTATCGAAATGCAATTTGACAGAAGCTGTCAAAGGTCTCCGAATATCAGTGACTTCTATTAAAATATTGAATAAAATCGTGAAACTTCGACTGTATTATCAACAAGACCACCTTTTGATTCCAACATGATGCTTTTGTACAAAAAAACAGGACAATTGTTATGTATTTTGACATATATCTTCTAGGTTTACATTTGACAATCCGTTATCCCCTCAGCGAATGGTAATGCGGCAAATAATAGGTCGATTTTCTAGCTGTTAAATTTGGCAGCAGATTTGGATGTTTGTTAATGGATGACAATCTCGAATTTACTAACTTCAATATACAGAGTATTATCATTACATACCTGTTGAATAGTGGACTGTATTTTGCAAGAAAATAGAATATAAAATACATTCCATCCAATTCCTCATCCTCCTTTACATCATAATAGTAATCATTTATTAATTTATGGGTTAATGAATTTCTTCAAAGCAATAAATACATTATGTCCTCTCCATCCTAAAACACAGATGATATGTGTAAGACATGTCAATCCCTACATCTCCCTGATGCATGATGCAATTACTATGGACTTAGACAAAAAATTATGAAAAATGTTTCACAAATAATGTCTTTTAAGTCCAAAAAACATAAAAACTTGTAATGTTTATTGTTTGATTGTCTTTCCGACTGGCGGCGATATCTATCTGTCACTCGCAGGGTTGCCAAGTCTAACGACCATCACGTCCCGTGGTGGAGGGTGCGAAATGAATCTTTTACATTTGCTGGTTTTCAATTTTTTTCGTGAAACATTACTAGGTATCATGATTATAAGGATCTTTGGTAGATTGTTCGATCCGGAATGAGAAAGATCTCCTATTTATGAAAATATTTTTGGTATCATCCAGCCGTTGCAATCGGTGCACAAAAACTGTGTCATATGATTTACAGCATAACCCGCTGCCCTATCAATACAAATTTAACATACAGGTCGCCTAGCCGTGGGGATACAGTGGTCGGGATGAATATCATGGCAGCAACTGATGACTTGGGAATGTCTGGTAACGACGAATGAAATGAAACTCGCTAACTTCACAAATATGAAGATTTTGTACAATTTCTTTGAAAATGATGAAAGATATGTCTGATTTGGCAGGGTAATGTCGCAGCCAAATGGCAGTCACTCTTTCTGACACAGTCCGGATCGAAAGATCACGATGCTCGTGAAATGTATTGATACTTATAAATATAGGATCGTATCGAACATCCCTACTGTCAAGATGTGTAGCCCGAGGTACCGACGGAGCTATTTTGTGGCATCATGGAAATAATTTCAAATTTTCATTTGCATTTTTTCAAGTGTTGTGCAACGATTTTGGGAAAAACTCCACGAATAGTCTTATAAAGCATAGTAGAGTATATTTCAACAGTTGGCAGAGCTTACTCCACTGTGACCAGGGGGGTGAAACGGGATATTAATGCACAATCTGGCAACCATGTCGCACCCTCACAAAATGGCCGCTGACAGCCACTCAAGTCACCATGTTGTCATTGAATATCATGGAATTAAACCTTCTTCAGGGTATATGTTTTGTGACTGGGACCAAGGGTTGACAGATCCCAGACATGTGTCACTCGAGGAGTCTTGAAATGCAATAATTAGCTGTATTCAAATAATGTCTAATATAAATATAACCTAGAATGTATACTCGTGAAAAAAGAAAAATATGGCAAATTTGTAGTTTTTTTGCAGGCTTTAGGTTTGCTGGTAGCTCTAAGGCATATATTTGGGAATTTCTTAATCGCTGTGAATATAGTGTGGATGTTTGTT